CTGAAGAAGAATTTTAAACAATGCTAAAACTTATTATAAAGTGGCTGGACAAAAAACAGTCATAAAAAGGCAGCATGACATTTATTCAGTGCAAAATGTTTGACTTTAAGTTTATTTTCCATCATTGTGTGTGGATGTTGCACCACATGCACAAGAGCACAGCGGTAACTTTTGAATGGGGTGGGGGGAAAGGATGAGCGTGAGTGTCACTCAATGAGCCCCTCCCACCTCAGTTCTCTATTTAAAGGCTCCCTGTCTGCTGCAGGAGCTAATAGCAGAGTGACACAGCTGCCTTACAGAACCAGAGGTGAATTCAAGCAACCTGTGGAGTATTCCTCGCTGACTTGGAAGAAGAGATTTTGTCAAAGGACTGAACTGAGTATCAGGTACGTGCACTTTGCTTTAAAGAAGTGATTTGCTGCGCTCCAGGCTGATGGCTTTATCCTTGCTTTTATGAGGTCAAGGCACAAGTGTAGATACAAGAACAGGTTATCTGTGTGGTTATATAAGCAGTTCAGCTCTTAATGTGTGTGAGGGAATTGCCTTTTAAGATTTACTGCATTCAACTTGAGCAGTGCATCACTTCTTATTTCTCTGCTGCTGTGGAAATTGTAATAAGTTTTACTAGACTTCTACTGAGTCTATTTTAGACTCCTGTTGGCAGACGGTGTCCTTCACATTACTGGCCGGGGGCCCAAAGCATGGTTGTAGATTTACTTAACCGAGACATTTCTGACCTCAGCTTAACTTTTTTCTTTATTTAAATGAATGATGTGTGCAAATAACTTGGCTTTTGGACTCTTGTGTAAGAGAACACAGTTGTGGTACTCGTGGGAATAGTGCATGAGGTAGCTTTACATGCAAAGAGGAACACTATGGAAATTTGTGAGGCTAATCATTGATTATTAGAGTAACTAATTAACTAATGAATTGTTTTCTCTACAGGAGCCAAGATGAAAACCATCATCCACTCCTTCCTCTACTGCTGTCTGCTGGCTTCAGTAGCGCACTGTGTGGAACCGAAGGGGAATCCTGAGTTGAAAAAAAGGTGAGTCAACTCAAAACGCATTTAGATATTAAAGAAAATGTTTAATTTGGATACAAAGGCTGTTGAATCATCCGTCTTAGACTAACAGGTTTTTTTTCCTCTCCTCTTGCAGACTAAGCATGTGGCTGGGGAGCAGAATGAGACGGGATCTTGAAAGTGTAGCAGTAGAGAAGACAGCAGAGTCCGAGCCCTTCATCAGACCAGAGGATATCAGGGATACACTGCTGCCACATTCCAGGTAAGAGAAGCACAGCTTGACAAGCCGGTAGGATAATGACTCATCAAAAGAGTCAACAAATGAAGATTTGTACGCTCTGACATGATCAGTTCATCAATTCATGACCTTTCCCTTCGTCCTCCAGCACTGACAACAACATCCGAACCAAGAGGTCCAAGAACTCCAGCAGCCAGCCCAGACGGCAGGGCTGCTCGCTGGGTACCTGCACAGTTCATGACCTGGCACACCGCCTGCATGAGCTCAACTCCAAGGGGAGGATCGTCAGCGCCCCTGTTGTCAAGATCAGCCCTCATGGATACGGCCGGAGGCGCAGATCGCTTCCAGAGCGACGCGTCACACTGAGGCTGGAGAAGGGCGAGCTGAGACCTGAGTGGAGCACAAACAACTCACAAGTACACAAGCTGGAGGCTCTCCTCAGAAGGACATGAGAAGGAGTCTAGAAGAGGAGTTGGGAACAAAGACGAGGGAGGCGTTCTCCCCCAGCTTGTGTCCTCTCTGCTCCTTTCCTGAATTCTCAAAATGCCTCAGACCTCAAACTCTTGCCAAGCATACTCCAGCACATTTGTTCCAGGCAAGAGGACTGAGTCAGAGCTGAAGTGGCTGCAGCGGAGGCTCTGCAGGCTGATCCCTGCAGCTCGGCGCCCGAGAGGCCGCAAAGAACCGCAGCTGGCTTAAAGACACTGGAGGGCACAGTGTGGAATGGACTACAGGTGCTGTTCTCTGCTCGGCAGAGAGAACGGAGGAGTACTAATACGCTGTCGAAATGAACTCGTCCTCTAGCTTCACGAGGGAACTCTCCACTAATACACTTTACACACCTATTCCTCAAGGCCAAGACTATCATAAGTGCTATCTTTGAAGGATTATACCGCCACGTATATCCACCATCAAACTGTCAGAAACTGCCTGCACTTTTGTCTTTTGGACTTAAATCGAATCATCAGGAAAACACATCATCACTATGCCAAACGGGCTCTGATGCTCTCTGTCAAGTTTTGGACACTGTATAAGGGAAATGCCTTAGATCCTGTGAGCTATATGTGCCAGTCCATAATGGATTGAAATATACTTGAAAATGTTAATGTCTGTAAAAAAACAAAAAAAGCAAGTGCAATCTAATATTTTATATATATATTACAGCTATGTGTATATATGAATTCCCTTATTTAATATTATATAGATGTTACATTAAAGTACTTATGCAGATAAAGCTATTTTTGTACAGGAAGAATTATATATATATATATATATGGGCATTGTAGCTACTTGTCATTATTCCTTTGCAAACTGTGGTCATTGGAAATGTTTTTTTAATAAGTATGTTATTTTATATTTGTAAAAGTGTTATTTTATTTGTGTCAAAGCAGTAACATTGTCATTAAATAAAACCTTTTGAATACAAAACGTTGCCCTTGCTCTCACCTGCTTTGTTCTGTATTAAAAGGTGACATTTTATTGTCATTGGGTAACTCTTTCAGATCCTGGCCAGGTTCTCATTACAGCCTCGTCTTGCAACATCGGCCCCCACTGTCATGCCCCTCCAACCTTTACCTTAAGAAAAAGGCAGACAGGGTGCAGAGAATGGCACATTCCTGATAGGTTCGGCTCATATTTGTTGCCCCCCACCACGAGCAGCCCTAAAGCCATCAGGGGAGGCTGAATATTTTGGCTCCATCTGTATTCAATGGTACGTGGTTGGGACACATGAAGGCCTACATGGGGGGTTCTGGTTTAACATTCCAGTGAGAACATCACAGATGGGAAAGCTCACATACTGCAGACCTCTTCTGTCTTTTTTCTTTTTTTTTTTTGGAAAATGCACATCACATCCGTCACAATGAGACACCCCATCACACAACAGATACACATTTAATAGAATAAATGAGGAATGTGCAGAGTTATATTTAAACAGCAAGATTTTTTTTAACACTTCCTCATAATCGTCTGTTCTTGTCAGCACAGACTTTACTCTTGTTCGCAGTCACACGGGGAACCCTTCAAAGAGTCAACGATTTGATGATTACGGAGTTAAATTCCCTTTAACTTTAGGTTTTAATAATTCTCATAGCACTGCACATTAGCTGCACATCATCAGGTAAAAGAAACACCAGCACTGGATGATGTGAGAAGGTTACACTGAAACAAATTGAGGGTCAAAGCTCCAATTATTAAATCTCTATCGCCATCTAGAGAAACTGAAGGGACACAACGGAACAAAAGGCCTGGTCGTTCTTTGGTTAAATTTAAGTTAAATCTTTCAGCTGAAGTCTGGGAAATATTTGAGTCAAATGTCTGATTTTTCAGGTGTTCACATAGTTTCGTCACTTCTCCATCATTATTTTTCAAAAGCTGCGAGACTTCAGTTTCAGTGCTTGTTCAGTTCATTATTGAACAAAACTGATTTGCTGTCGTGCTGCAGAGTCAACAGATGTTTGAATTTTATAGAAATGTAAGAGAGCGACACGGAAACATCAGACACCGGCATGCATCACTGTCGTCTTCATACCTTAACTTTCAGCAACACTTTAGTCAAATATTTGTATCTTGGAGCGTTCAGTCTTTTTTTGTTTACTGTGTTAAGATTAGCCAGGAGAACATTTATTCACCTTATAGTATCATGTCATAAAACTGTGTATCGTTGCAGTGAGGTAAAAAAAAGAAAAGCAATTCTACCATCTAGTGTCAGAATAAATTATATGTATTTCTTTATCTTTAGTGGTAATTTAGCCTCAGGATAAAGGCTAGAAAAAATGGAGACTGTGTTATTCACTAAATTAAACTCACTCTGAGAACAAGATGAATGGAGGAACTCTCTGAGCTTTCTAATTATGTGACGATGTCACTCCTTCTGTAAGCCAATCAGCCTGTGACGTCACTGATGTTCTGATAGCATCAATGAACCGACCAGTCTGGGTCAACGAGTCAAAACAATACTGTGCTACATTACACGACTAAGTGTTTGGTACGATTCAGGTCTTTTGGTCTTTGCATTGCACGACTCGCACAACAAACCTTTTCTAGTTGGAAGTTGACATAATTAATATATAATAACTACAAAAACCTAATTGCCAAAGTAAAATATGTCAATGGACTAAACGAATGTGGAATGTGGACATGAACATACTTACGTGGTTTGTTGCTCTGCTCATCGAACAGATAAATCACGACACAAGAAAGGAGCGACAAAACTGTTGTCAACCAATTGTGATAGTCCCGGACTAAGATGAGTAAAGTCATCTTTAAAAGCTCATCTGAGAGGATTAGCCTCCTAATCTCAACCACTGTGAGGCTAAATCTGTGGGCCACCTGCTGCTCAAAGCCACGCTGTTAGATCTGGGTCTGCTGAAGTGATGTAAGAAGTTGTACAACACAATTACTGCACCACAATACGGCGCTTTAATGCCTTCATTCTTATTTCATGTTCTGTATTCTGTTTGCCTGCTTTGATTCAGCTGCTTTCTGCTCCTCCTCCTAGCACGTCCTAACGATCACGCCTGCAGCTCCTTCAGTCTACGGACGAGCAGCAGCTCTCTCAGCTCAGGCTTCATACGTCATAATTAGTCTTTCCTCTTGCATTGCAAAACACCTCATTGTGTATTTCAGAATTTCTAAATTTGCAGCAGCTTAGGTTTGTTTGATTAAAGTAGCTCATATTTATCTACTTTCACCTGAGTCTGATTTGAGCGCTCAGGGTTTCTTCACACAACGGTATGAGCAAATGTGTGAGATACTGTTGTAGCTATCTGTGTCCTGCTGGTGAAATATTACCACACTTAGCAAACTTATAAAACGACTTTTGGAAAAAACAAACAAACACAAGAACTGCATGTGTGGCAATTTTGTCCTCGCACATAAAAAAACACGTTCACTTTACAAGTGACGTGTGAAACACGTTTTGCACTTGGTAACCACGAGGATTTGGAGCAAAAACTGAATGAACTCTAAAAACACTTCACGTTAAGATGAAACCCATGAAATTAAGTTTGGGATCATTTTCAACGTGTTCATGGGATCACGTGTAGGCCTGTCACGATAAACAATAAATCAATTAATCAATTAATCGCCTTTGTGAAGCACTTTGTGATACATATGTCTGTGAAAGGTGCTATAGAAATAACGTTTTACTTACTTACTTATGTACTGACCCCTCCCTTTCTCTTTAAAATCCATTTTAACCATCCAAAATCTAATTTTTGGATGGTTAAAAGCAGCTAAGATGAGAAGCTAAGCTACGAGCTAAGCTAACAGGCCGACCTCAAGAAAAAAACTGTTTTGTCGAAGCTCCAAAATTCACGGTTGAAACCCGTGCCTTCGTCTAAAAAGTTGTTTTTCTCTGCAAAAAGGATCTGAGAACTTGTTTACTGATTTTTTTATTAAAAGCTTTGTGTGAAAAATGCTAAAGAGCTCAAACCACACCGAGCGTCCGCCATTTTGTGAACTGAATAAAGGAAGGAGAGACAGCCCATGTCACGTCAAGGGGCCTCACTCCCATTTTTCTTAAAAAAGACACGCTGCTCGCTCCCTCACTATCCATCCTTCTGTTCAAACAGTCTTATACTGCCATCCAGTGGTCCAAAAAAGATACTACACTCAAAACAAATTAACCAACATTTCTTCTTAAATTTGACGATAATTACTAATTATCGTCAAATTTCAAACAATATTATCGTTTATCGCAATAATTTCTGAGACCGTTAATCGCCCAGCAACATTTGTTATCGTGACATGCCTAATACATGTGGACAAAACATGGTGAATTTGTGGTTTTCTGTAAAGGTAAATTCACTTATTATTATTATTATTATTTTTTTTTTTTTTTTTTGATGGCCTCCCTTCTCCCCTTACAGCCATCCTCTCCACACCATTATTATGAAATATTTATTATAGTGACTATCTAGTGTAGTTTTTTTTTTTTTTTTTTTTCCCAATAGGATAGAAAGAAAGAAAAGACAAAGTAAGACTCCAAAATATAAGAAATATATACAAATAGAGCACACGTCAAAACACCCGGCCACTGTCTGTTCACCTGCAAAGAACATGACAAAACACAGCAACAAAATACATATGTATAAAGAACTTAAAATATTCATGGCTTTGCAGTAAGTTTCCATAAATATATATACCCATACCTACGCCTATATACATACATACATACATACACATGAATATACACTCACATACATATCTATATATCTACATATAAAGCCTACATAAGCATCCCTGCTTCTATTTGTGTGTGGTTGTGAGCATGCATAAGTGTATAAGGCTTCTCTAATAGAACATTTATTAGTAACTGTGAAGCAGCAGAGACCCGACCCCCAAGACCAGAGGCAGATGAAAAAAGGGGGGACCAGAGTCCAAGACCCCAGGAGGGACCCCGACCGCGGAGCCCCCAGAGCCACCCACACAGGACGAACCACTCACCCACCCCCCAGAACGGACCACAGGGGAGAACCGGAAGATCCCCACCAGCAACCACATAAATTCACTTATTAAATGCATTTTTAGAGTAGTTTGAGAAGTTTAGAAAATCTTAAAATGATGTTCAGATCAATTTTTTGAGTAAATTTCCAAGAAATAAGTAAGATAATACATTGTTCATCTTAAAACTGACCATCAATCAAGGCCAAGTAAAAAAAAAGCCTCTGAAATGATCAGGATATATAAGGTTTGAATAAAGTTGTGTTGCTGAGCTGAGGTCATGAAAGAGTTAAGGATGGAGTCGTTATGCAGCAGCGAAGTGGATAAGATATCCTGCACTCTTGCCTCAGCTGGAGCAGCACGACTGGAGTGTTTCTGTGAGAGACTTTGAGCAGTTTGTACCACACTTCAGAGACCACACAGGAGGTGAGTGGATGGATTTAAAAGTCTAAATCAGTGGTGAGCAACACAAAAAAGTTCTTTGTTACATCTTGAATGCTTCTTGTGTTTAAAGCTGCACATCAAGGACCACATTTATCGTCTGTGCTTGCTTTTTGCTCATCCACACCTGAAGCGACCTCTGATCGAGTCACGCGTTTTCTGAAAATGTAAAAACGTGCATTAGAGCTGAGAACAGCTGCGAGGAGCTTCGTTGCCATGAGCGAGAGCTCTTTCTATGGTTTCCTTCTGTCTTCCTCTCCAGGGCCTGGTCATCGGGGAAAGATGAAACGAGGAGACACGCCTTTTTCAAAACAGTCGAGCGCTTGTTTGGGAACAAGTGAGCTTCTTCCTTTCCCTCTCGCATCGCTGTCTCTGCAGAGTGGTAAATAGTTTGCTCGTGCCTTTTGCGATCATTGTCATGGGGCTTTAGTGTAGATCTGGGGTGTTCAGTCAGTAAGAGCCGTGAGGTGTCTGAGCCAAGTTAAGAGATGAGATAAAGTAAGCAGAATTCAGTGAAGTGGGTCTGAGGTGTGGCTGAGTGGTCCATTAACAGCATTCTTCACTTTCCAAAGGCCTTTACTCCAAGTACAAATGAATGAATGATGATCCTTTTCCTCCAAAGTAACTGTGGAAATGATGAATGGCCAACTCCATATTTTCCACATTACAGTACATTTCAGCAGATTCACAAACACGTGCACACTGTCCGCACAGACTAAGCCACATCTACAAAGAGCCACGCTGTGATACGGCTCCTTAAGCACGAACAGAAAGGCTCCAAAGCACCTTTCCACTGTTACTGTGTGAAAGAATGCATTTAGATTTGAGTCCGATGTTATTTTGACATGTATTCTGATTTTTTTATTGCAAAAATCGGATTTAAATGCACACGGTTGAAACGCAGGACCTTCCTGAACATCTGAGCAGAAGCTGAAATTTACCGACATTTAACAAAAGGTTTAATTTTTGAAGAACCGGGGGAAATGGTGCAACCAAAAAAACCTTGTCCACATATTTTACACCATCACACCCTGATCCTGGTGGGTGGTGGTGGTGGTGGGGTATCACTGGTTAAACAGCAGCAGAATCAAACAGTAGAAACCTCTGATTGGTCACTCGCCTGAAGAGTTAAAGAGTATCTCAAACATCACGTGAAGATAAGCAGTGAGGAGGGGTCAGCTATCTTTGTGTTGCCTCTTTGCAACGGAAATGGTGTGGGATCTTTCACCTTCTTCTCCCTGTGGACACCGAGTTGTCTCTATTGTGTTAGTTTGCTTCTGAAACTCGGAACTAAATAGGACTCTGGGCTCCGTCTACTCAAACTGAGGCCACATTTTTGTCAGCCACTTTAGAAATATTCTCAGGATAAGCCACTTTGTCAACATAATGATTTGGGCTTCCTAAAACAGAGAACTGGGGACTGAAAGAAACAGAACTTTGCCATGAAGCAAATAGCGTGCAGAGTCTCTTGAGGTGAATCCATGTGCTCCACCGAGTCTGGCAGCAGAAAACCGGCTCAGTTATGGCTGGAAGCAACTCTCTGGGTAAGTGCAACAGCTAAAATTAGTTCAGTTAATTTAATTTTGCTTAGTTATCTTAAACCCTCTGTCAACTTAGAAAAACAACAATATTCTGGTACGTAGTGAAGAAGACAAGAAAAGGGGAAAAAAGTTATAAAAATTGTACCTAAAATGTGTACACTTAAGGACAAAGGAGAAATAGAACAGGGATAGATGAGAGTTTATAAGCTTGATAAGCTTTCTGGAAGGAGCCTGGATTAGATTACAGTATGCCATGTAGTCTTCCTCTGTTCTTGCTTCATCACTCCAAAACTCAGAACTGCACTTAGGACCACAAAGGCCTTCAAAGCCTGCTTCCTCTAATTTATTTAGAAGCATCAGCATAGCTGCTGTCATGTCTTTAACCCAGGTAAAAGACGAAAACAAATTCAGTGTAAACAGAATGACATTAAATATCGTTTTGTTTTTTACAAGAATTGAAACAATCAGGGAAGATACTGCCCTCATAGTTTGTAGTGTCAGACGTAGTTCAGATCATCTCATCCTAAAACCCTAAATGATTTAATTCACTGGATCAAATCCAAAATACTGTGCCAGAGGGATCCATTAAACCAGGGCTCAAATCAAAATGCTTTCAGCATCCAGTAACAATGATCCTTCCAGTCTGTTCCCCTGATGGGCTGGTGCTCCCCCTCAAGTTGCAGCTGATAGTTTTATTGTTGACACGTATTTCAAAGTCGAAGGAACCACTTTGGAAAGATGAAGATGTTAAATAAAAGAAGAGTATAACTGTATGAGAGAATGAAAATGACACCATTCGGTTGAAAGTTGGTGCAATGGGCAATAAATGACCCGTTCAAACGGATCAGTTTGTGTGGCTCACTTTAATATTAATGCCAATATGTCGCAGAGATTTCATTCGCAGAGCTGAAGAAAACTTAAAAAGACGAGAGCAAAAACTAAGGTTATGAACATAAATATTATTAATTTACATCTTATTCTGGGTTCAAACTACGGAAGAGGCAGTGAATTGATCAAATGTTGCCATATAGAGCCACAGATTTCAGACTCCGAGGTACAAAGAAACAAAGACTGATAAAGATAACACAAAGCTTCTCACTGTCTCATGTCAAACAGTTTAAATACTGTAACAAACTTAGACTGAATGCAAGGTGGGGCACATGGGTGGCCAAGGCTTTCTCATACAAATAAAGGGAACTGTTCCAGTATCCTGATGCCTGCTCACTGCAGTTCATACTGGAACTGTTCCAGTATTTCCAGTATTTTAAGATGCCACATTAATATTATAACGTGTATTATAGGTCTTAAAAAGTAAATAAAATCACAAAATGCACATATTGTTGTCTTGTTGAACATAACTGGCAGTTATAGTCTACTAAAACCTTGCCCTTATTCCAACATTTTTCAGTCAGGTCATCTGGACAGTTTCTTTTTTTTGTGCTGAAACGTTTCACCTTCCATCCAGAAGGCTTCATCAGTCAAGGAAACAACACAAAACTGATTCTTCCCCCATACAGCTTACTCCAAAGTGGAACAAACCAGTTATGTTGGTGCTAAGATGGTGTCTTTGGCATGCCCCCTCCTCCGTTGCCGGCCCTCTTCCTCATCGACAGTCGTGTCAAACTGGTTCAAAACCATCTTAGCACCAACATAACTGGTTTGTTCCACTTTGGAGTAAGCTGTTGGGGGAAGATTCGGTTTTGCTGTGTGTTTCCTTGACTGATGAAGCCTTCTGGATAGAAGGTGAAACGTTTCAGCACACAAAAAAAGAAACTGTCCAGATGACCTGACTGAAAAATGTTGGATTGTATACCTGGATTATTGAGCATGGACTTTTTTGCCATTAATATTGTTCCAGGCCGATGCTATGTTAAAGATTGGCCACCAGATGTCGCCATAAATCCATTAACTTGTTCTCAACCCAAATCATTGCAAAATAATGCAAACTTGTTGATTTATGTTCAGTGGTTCAGAAAATTAGTTTTCTATTTCACACTGATTGATCCTCTGAGACACGAGAGCTGCTTGACACGTATTCTCTGTATTTACTCTAATCACGCATCTTTCAAAGCCACATGACGTGACTTGTTGATCATCTGGGGTGGTCAATCAGATTCCAGGGGTTGACATGTGCCACCTCGGCCACCCCCACTGCCTCAGCTCCTGGTTAAATAAACTAGCTTTACCTAAATATGAATTTCCTAAAAAAAAAAAAAAGCTGTGTTGGTTATTTTGTGGACTTTATTTTGAATATTAAGTAAGATTTGTATCATACTGGGTGACTTGGTGGTGCAGCTGTTGAAGTAGACGCTTCACGGTATAAAGGTTGCAGTTTGGTCACCCGGCCTTTTTGAATGGAGTTTGCATGTTCTCCATGTGCGCTCGTGGGTTTTCTTCTGTTTTCATCCCTCTGACCCACATGCACATTAACTTATTAGTAACTTTAAATTGTACCTAGATGTGAGTGAGACGTTCAGTGGTTGTCTTATTTGTCACCTTGTGGACTTGTGCACTCATGACCTGTCCATGCTGTAAGTCTACTGGAGATGGGCACCAGTTCCATCACAGCACAGAAAGAAAATGGTGGTAAATAAAACAGATGCATAAATGTCCTGCAGGACAAAATACTATTGTTTGTAATTTGAGCTGTTAAAAGCAATTCACCTGTTGGTGGTGCCACTCTGTAGGTGTTTGCATCTGGTTGCCATCCATTTAAACCTTTACTCAGGTAACTCCCTGTGTGTACACGACACCACAAACTGGTCAGTATGAGATCAGCTCTTAAGAGAACAGGTACTCTGTTTCCTACTTCAGCTTCTGCTGTCTTGCAGACATGCCTCGACAGTTCTGCAAGGTAACTCTGAGTGAGGTGGAGGAGGCGAAGCAGATACTAGCAGAGCGAGTGCACGCCTCAGTGCTAAAAGAAGAAGACAACAAGGATGCCTTGTCAATGTTCACAGTGCCTGAGGACTGCCCCATCGGTCTGCAGCAAGCCAAAAACCATGAACTTCTTAAGGACCTGGCAGAGCAACAGTCAGAGGAGACTTCCAAAAGGTACACTTTATACCACAGATGTTAAAAAAACACTAAAAAATGATTTCCACTTCAAAGTTACAGCAGCTTATACCAATTATGCACCTAATGATGTATCAGTGTTGCTACTTTTTCAGGAGAAAAAGTTTCATGTTGATTCGCTCCCAGTCGCTGTCCACGCAAATCCCAGTGGCTACAGACGGCTCAGTTTCAGGGACCTTTACACCATTAATGTCCACCAGTTCCACCTTCTCTTCAGGGTCAGAAAACTGTCCTGACTTCCAGAGGGTCACTATTAGTGGTGATTATTGTGCAGGGGTGAGTACCAGCAGCCTGGTGCTGCTTTTCATTTTGAAATCCACCATCTGTTCCCATGAATGACTTAATTAAAAAAAATAAAAAAAAGTCGAATGACATTATCGAGACTTAAATTTATGGGCAATGTCCGCTCAGATCCCCGTGGAAGACTACGAGCAAGCTGCCAAAAGTCTGTTTAATGCACTGCTGCTTCGAGAAAAGTACTCCAAACTGGCCTATCACAGATTCTGTAGAACTACAAGTCAGTTTCTGCGCAGTGCTGAGAACACGAGTTGGAATGAAGAAGATGAGGTTCTACCAGGTAATAAACATATGATCAACCTTTGCTACGATCTTTCATGTTATTTGGACAATAATAGAACAATCTTGTGTCCACAAGACATGTGCCCATGTCCTGCAGAAGGCGAGGATCCTTACAGTGAGGAGAACATCCCAAAACATCTCAACTACGAGCTGAAGATGAAGGATGGGATTGTGCATGTATACGAAAGTTCAGAGGCTCTCAGAAAAGACTGTCCGCTCCATCTTCCTTACCCAGACTTGGAGACATTTGCCATCGATCTAAACCAGGTGCTGGCTATGATTGCTGACGGACCCACGTGAGTTGACTAAACAAAGCGACTTCACAGTCCTGCAGGTTGATAAACCAGTTTTAGCACACACTTGTATTTTAGAGTAATGGTGTGAAGCATATAAACAGAGTTCTATGTTTTTTTTCCAGAAAAACCTACTGCCACAGAAGACTGAACTTCTTGAGCTCAAAGTTCTACCTCCACGAAATGCTCAATGAGATGGCCGAGCTGAAGGAACTGAAAAGTGTTCCTCACAGAGACTTTTACAACGTCAGGAAGGTACAGGCTCCATGAACCGAGCAGCCTCAAGTTTAAAACCACACGTGTGTGCGAGGTTCTGGCACAGAAACCCTCGAGTACATTTAGGCAGACGCAGCTCCAGAAGAACTTAGCTGTGGGGGCTGAGGAATATTTTGGGGGCCCAGAAAATAGTCATTTTATTTGATATAAATACATAAATAAATGTTAACATGACCTTGCAACTGAAATAACCATATGTTGTTTATTAATACAAAACAAACAACTTAAACAGTGACATCACCAGAAGATGCTGCATAAATATTAGAAACTAGTATTAAACATTGTGTTTGAAACACATTAACACCAGAAACGTTAAGGCAACTGCACACTTCTCCTGAAGAAAGGTGAACATGTTTAAAAAATATACTGAACATTTTTAACATTTCCACTGTTTTGTTGAACAAACCTGATGGAAAAAAAACAAAAAAACAAAACGCAGTGGAAAATCCATCTTTAAAAAAAATCACTGAACTCATTAATCAGATTTTCTGCCTCTTTTAGTAAAAATGCATTGAACAGGTTCATCTGTTCAGACTCTTGAGTAAAGAATCCTTCTTTCTGGCATGTTACCTTATCAAAGTGTCTTCTTCACCTTCTTCTTGTGATATTATTAGCAGTTGGAAAACTTCTTCTACACCGCCTCTAAAAATCCAGTTTAATTACCTACAGCACCCTCTGCTGGTTGTCTTGAATCAATACATTGCAGAGGTTCAACTTATTAGTGTTGTGATCAGTCTTAGGGTGGGGGTGGGCATAGATATCATATATAAACAAATATATATTTTGATTATATGATATCTGTGGGGGTGGGGATACCTGAATGGGCGGGTCCAGCCTGGCCAGCCGCCCTCTGGCATCGGGTCCACCTTTAGGCCACATGAAGGGGTTCAGTGACCCAAGCCTCTTTGTTGCGTCATTTACTGAGAAGCTTTTGTGCGGTGGAACCACTTTGTCTTGTCCTTGGCTGTGCCATTACCTCGGGGATGAGGTTTTGCTTTTTAGTCTGCAGAAATGTTTAGGATGATATCCAACAAAGTTAAGTGACGTCCTCTGGACGGTTTCTTTTTGTTTTATTTTTTCCTCTCTGGCTCTTGATCGAGGTGGCTGCCTTTGTCTTTCCTCTCCCGTTTTTCCTTCCTCCTGCTCTGCTCTCTGTGGGTCTGAAGCGCCTGGTAAACATCTCCCGAATGTAAATTAAGATTATGGATCTGGTATCCTGGGTGCTCAACTCTATTGATAAGATTTTTTCAACAAAACAACAGGGTCCTGGAGAACCTGCGTGTCCAGCTGAGATGCACGCTGTGGGGCACGTCATGGACCCGTGGGGAGTGTGGCAGCTGATGTGCCTCTCAGTCCTGTCTCAGGAGGATGTTGAAAACATTTACATATTTGGAATTATGATAGCAGGGACTCTGCTTTTTGGCATCGGCGGGGCTCTGTTTTATCGACTATTGAAGAAGACATCGGCAGCAGTTTTGGCCAAGACAAAGCTTCAGAGTCAGTGTGAAGGTCTGGTCCGTGCTGTGGGAACTCTAAATCAACTGGTTTACAAGCTAAACCGTAAGGTGGAGGCAATTTATGAGAATCGCAGGCCACCTGCGGCTTCTGGGACTCGTCAGCGCGGTGGGTTCGACCTTGAGGGAGACTCATAACATGGATCAATGGAATGGATTCCCACAGTTAGGCCATTTTGGAACCAGAACATCCAGATGGACTCGAGGCTGAAGAAGGAAAAAAAAATCTGTCTGCCTGAAGAAAAACAAGAATCAAAGCTTATCTGCATCCGATTCCCCGACGGCCTCGGAGACGGGCCGACTATCAAATTTCTCCTGGGTCATGGGTAACCAAGGACAAAAGCTTCAGCTATCCCCCCGAGAACTTTCTGTGCAATCTTATCAGAACTGCTGGCTGAAACATCTTCAGAAACTGGCTGCTCTGAAAAAACGCTCATGGACAAATCTCAACACCTTGACATCAAATGCATGTAATCATGTTTTAATTGTGCTGCTGGTAGAGATTTTGTTTTAATGTCTCAAAATGTGTCCTGATAGACAAGATGCGAAAGATCTTTTTTTGTAATACCACTATCTACCCTCATGGCTCTCCCCCTTTTCCTAGCTAAGATTATTATTCTGATAAGGATAAGAGAGGCCGCGCTTACAGCAGCAGCTTCGTGCACTCCGTCCATCTTCCGGACGACTGCATGTACATGTTCTCGTTGTATCTCAGTGCAATGATAATAAAGTTTACGCTTATTCTGATTCTGAAATATTTCGTCAAAAGACTTCATCAGGCGCTGCAACAAACTCAGTTTTATAAATAGCACCTTCACATAGTGGGTCAGCCAGTTTGATGGTGCTCAGATGGTTTCTGGGGTCCGCCTTCTCCCCCACCGACTCGTCTGAGGCAGCCTTGACCAAAGCGGTTCAAAACATCCTGATCCATGCTCAATAATCCAAGTAGAAAAATCCAATAAATTAGGGTTAGTGTTAGAAGAGTGTGTGATTTTCTATTCATGGCTGCATCTCACAAGCCTTTTCTTGAAAATATTGTGCTAATAAGCATATTGCTAATAAGCTAACCTTGTTGTTTAGTTGCATATTCTGCCCAGCAAGTACATCTACAGTGGAAAGGACTTTAACATTTCACTCAGCGCGTTTGATTCTATTTTCCTCGTAGATTTGTTGCAATGTGTCAAAACGCCCAGCAGACTGAGCTTGTGGTCTTTTCTTCCAGGTGGACACGCACATTCATGCAGCTGCATGCATGTCTCAGAAACACCTGCTCACTTTCATTCAGAAAACGTACAAGACTGACGCAGAGCGAGTCGTCTTCGAGAAGAACGGACAGAAGATGAGTCTCCAGCAGGTTTTCCAGAGCCTCAACATGGACATATATGACCTCACTGTGGACTCACTGGATGTTCATGCTGTAAGGAAACATTGGATTCCTTTTTTATGTTAAATGGTAGAAATTTTGATTAAAAAATAGTTAATAACGGTGCTTTACTTCTGTTAAGGAGTATAAATAAGACATTTCTTGTCTTTTTTTTGTTGCTTTTTCCCGTGTTTCTGAGCTCAAGCGCAGACAGTGACAGACACTGATCACTCGGACTTCTCTTTTTGGTAATAACTGAAATTCCCAGGGGAGGCAAACCTTTCACCGCTTTGACAAGTTCAACTCAAAGTATAACCCAGTGGGTGCCAGCGAGCTCCGAGAACTCTTCCTGAAAACAGACAACAACATTAACGGAGAATATTTTGCTCGGATCATAAAGGTACCAGCCCCTGCAGCTGTACGTTTTAAATCAGGATGACTGCAGGAAGAGCTTAACACACATTTCCTCTCATCAAACAGGAGGTGGCTCATGATTTGGAGGAGAGTAAGTATCAGCATGCAGAGCCGAGACTGTCCATCTACGGATGCTCTCCTGACGAGTGGGAAAATCTTGCAAAGTGGTTCATTCAGCACAAACTGCACTCGCCAAACATGAAATGGATGATCCAAGTGCCCAGAATATAGTGAGTCTCATATCCTTAAACAAATCGCTACAAGCCTCTGATGTCGACTATTTAGGTCAAATATTAAAATCATATATGTCTTTTTCAGTGATATCTTCAAGTCCAAGAAACTGGTACCTAATTTTGCCAAGATCCTGGAGAACATCTTCCTCCCTCTGTTCGAGGCGTCTGTGAACCCACAGAAGCACAAAGAACTCCATATCTTCCTCAAATATGTAAGGAATATATTTGTGTATATATATTGTATATACAAAGTACATACTGCATATGTAGTATAAATATGTCTTTATTATGAAATGCGTTTACCCACAGATGGATATTTATACTGATTATAAGAGCAAAGTGGTTAATTGAAGATGTGTTTAAAAGTTCAGACCTTCAGAACAAAAGTCATTGGTGAGGTTTAATAGTGTGGAGAGACTAATTGTTTGTAGTAATTTAGTGTTTATATGTATCTAAAGGCAGATTGGATTACAAGACAGTGGTGAGACCAGCTGTGCTGTGTAGTCTGGAGACAGACGGAACTGGACGTGGCAGAAATGAAGATGTTGAGGTTCTCCTTAGGAGAGACAAGGATGGAGAAGATCAGGAATGAGATCATCAGAGGTACAGCACAGGATGGACAACTGGGAGTGGTTTGGACATGTCCAGAGGAGGGACAGTGGTTTGGACATGTCCAGAGGAGGGACAGTGGTTTAGACATGTCCAGAGGAGGGACAGTGGGTATATTGGTAGAAGGATGTTGGAAATGCAGCTGCCAGGAAAAAAGACAAAGAGGAGACATATGGATGCAGGTAGAGAGGACATGGAGGTAGTTGGAGTGAGGACAGAGGATGCAGAGGACAGAGTGAGATGGAGGAGGAGGACTCGCTGTGGAGACCCCTGAAGAAGAAGGAGGAGGAGGTCAATGTCAACATTAAATTGCATGTATATTTTGCAGGTGTCAGGCTTCGACAGCGTAGATGATGAGTCCAAACACAGCACCCACATGTTCTCCTTTCGGAGTCCGAAGCCCGAACAGTGGGCCACAGATGACAACCCCCCCTACAGCTACTACCTCTTCTATATGTACGCAAACATCATGGTGCTCAACAACCTCAGAAAGTAAGATCTGATGCATTCTTCCACTCTCAAGCTTTACAATTATAAATTAAAGAAAGAGAACTGATGGAGGATAATCTGCAGTTTGATCTGAATATAAACCTTTAATCCCGCATGCTCCAAATCTGCAGGGAGCTGAGATTGAGCACCTTCCAGTTTCGCCCTCACTGCGGAGAAGCTGGATCAATAACTCATCTGGTCTCCGCTTTTCTCACCGCCGACAACATCTCACATGGACTCAACTTGAAGAAGGTGCTTACAACGCGCTCACATTTCTGACGCCGATAAACAATTTAAATAAAAAGTATCTTAGCTGAATTCCTTCAGAGCACCAAGGAAGAACGTCTCCTCGATGTGCTGCTTGGTTCCAGTGGAGATCTTTAGCATGAGGTTATTCTCCACTGACGTGTTTGTTGGTTTGAAAACATTTTTTTTATTTATTTATACTGTATTTAGATTTACACTGGATATCTTCCTGAATGTTCATTTCAAAGCTGGCAGTGCTGTTTCTTCACACAACAAATGAAAACGTAACAAAATGGACGTACCAGGAAGGATAATGGAAGTTTGGATTTCCTTTTCAGTGGACATTTGTTCCAAAAGCAATGCCAGAAAAAACAAAAACAAAAAAACCCCTCAGTTTCCTGATATTTATCTGCACTGTGCTATGGCAAAGCTCTCACTTCCAGTCATTCCCTCTGCAGATTCAGCTGGATTATAAAAACCTATGAGGAACAAAATACACTGTTAGATTAAAATTATTTGGGAGCTGCAGGATGAAATGTCCCCTTTGGGTCGGACTTTGCCTCAGGTGGAAGAGTTCAAGTATCTGGGTGTCTTGTTCATGAGCGATGATAGGATGGAGCAGGAGATGGATTGATGAACTGGAGCCTTGTCCTCAGTAATTAGGGTGTTGCTTCAGTCTGTCGTGGTGAACAAAGAGCTGAGTCAAAATATCCTGATGCTCAATAATCCATGCAGAAAAATCTAAAAAAGTTAAGTCTGGTCCTCTGGACGGGTTCAAAAAACAAACAAAAAAAACGTTTCATGTGAAAGACTTCTTCCATCTGAGGTGCTGTATTCAGCTCAGCTTTATAAATAGCTGCTTCTCATGGTGGATCAGCCAGTTTGATGATGACATCCAGAACTAGCTGTTCACATGATCAAGGAGGACCATCAGCCTAACGACCTGATGGCCGCTTCCTAATCAACTGAGTCAAAACTCTCGATTTATTGCTCTGTCTGCGTTCCAACGCTCACATGTAGTCATGAGGTTTGGATCATGACCGAAAGAATGAGATCCCAGATACAAGAGGACAAAATATAGCCCAGCTCAACCTTAGGGTGAAAAACTTGGTCATCCAGCGGGAGCTCGGAGTAGAGCTGCCGCTCCTCTGCATTGAAAGGAGTCAGTTGAGGTGGTTCAGTCATCTGATTTGGATGCATCTCCTGGATGATTCCTTGTTGAGGTTTTTCGGGCACATCCTACTGGTAGGAGGCCCGGGGGAAGTCCCAGAAGTTGTGGGAGGGATTGTATAGCTTTTCTGGTCTGGGAACACCTCAAGGTCCCCTAGAACAAGGTGGAAAGTGTTGCCAGGGTGGAGGTCTGAGTTTCTCTCCTGGACCTGTGTCCTCCGTGACTCGACATGGTTGAAGATGGAGATGGGAGCTGCAGAAATACTCCAGCTGTCCCGACAGATAAAATTAACATGACATGATATTTCTAAAGTCAGGATAAAATCTTTAACACAGCTGAGTTTTTCTGTGCAGACCTGATGTAACTTTTTTTTGTTCTCCTCAGAGTCCTGTGCTGCAGTACCTGTACTACCTGGCCCAGGTGCCAATTGCAATGTCTCCTCTGAGCAACAACAGCCTTTTCCTGGAATACTCTAAAAATCCCCTCAAAGAGTTCCTCCACAAAGGTCTATGTGTGTCCTTGTCCACAGATGATCCCATGCAGTTCCACTATACCAAGGTAAGACTCAGAAACGGTTTCTCAGCTCGTCTGCTGTTTGTTGTACTGCAGTAAAGATAAAATGGATAGTTCTTCTGCGTATATTGTTCTTATGCACTGTTTGGGTCCTAACTTTAGGAACCACTGATGGAGGAGTATGCTATAGCAGCTCAGCTGTGGAAGCTCAGCACCTGTGATGTTTGTGAAATAGCCCGGAACAGCGTGCTGCAAAGTGGACTGAGTCACCAGGTACCAGTGACATCCTTTTGCTTATCAATGCAACCAGACGTCAGTGAGTTTGCTTTTACATTTATTTAACAATTTTTTTTTTCTTTAAGGAAAAGAAATGTTTTTTGGGAGCAAATTATCTGAAAGAAGGTTACGAAGGCAATGACATCCGTCGGACCAATGTTGCCCAGATCCGCATGGCCTACAGACAAGAGACGCTGTGCAACGAACTCAGCTTCATCGTGGACGCTGTGCAGTCTGAGACTATTCTTTCTCATTAGGACAACTAATCCAACATCAAAGCATGCACGCATCATCAGTCACCTTTTTCTTTTTTTAAGAAAATGTCATTAGCTACGATGGTTAAATAAGTACATATTTTCATTGAAAGAGCAAAACGGAACTGTTCCAAACTGAAGACAAACGAGTGCTTCTAAAACAGAAGTCATGCTTTTGATTGATGACACCTGGGTTTTTAAAGGTTTAGACCAGGGGTCTGCTCTGGGGCCACGGTTGGCTCTTTGGTCCATCTGCTGCAGTTCTCTGGATCTCTCATCAAAGCTAACGTGAAAAAAAAGGTAATTTATTCCCTCAGCAGTAAAAGCAATTAAAATATATGGTAAGTCATGGTGAGACCAAGATTTTAAGGTAAAATCAGATTTGAAATAAAATATCTCTGTTTACATGAGAGATCTGTCAATTAAACATCCAACAAGCTTATTTAATGTAACAGACTTTTACTTCAAACTGGGATAAGCATATCATTTTCCCATAAATATTAAAAATATAACAGGCCTGCATAGGTAAGGTTTAGATTTTTATCGAAGTGGGTTTAACCCCCCACCCATCCAAGTTTGTCTTTCTGTCTTTACAGGGTTTTGCATTGACTTCCATTTATTTTTCATTTATTTTTATAGCCTAACCCTATAACCACCAACGTCACTGATCTTTATGGGGCCCGGGCTTTGGTCCCCATTAGGAGCAGATGGTCCTCACAATGTATAAGTTGGAAAAATGTTTACTACGTAACAAATACTTATTTATTTTTATTTAACCTTTATTTACCAGGTAGTCTCATTGAGTCACCAGGACTCATTTTCACAAGAGACCTGTTTGGGAGCAGATGGTGGAGGTTAAGGGCCTTGCTCAAGGGCCCAGAGTGGGGCAGATGAGGGTGGAGGCAGGTGTGGGTGCTTCACCTTTCCCACCCACATTCTGATGTTGTCGGTCCAGGGAGTCGAACCAGTGATCTTCTGATCACAGGCCCACATTCTTTAACCTCTGCACCACAAACCCCTCAAATACAAAGACCCCCCCCCCCCCCCCCACACACACAAAGTTTGATATTTTTATTTGTTCTAACTTGTAAAAGTATCAGTAACTTCCAACAGCTCATAATAGAGCTTTGAATATTTTTTATTTGTAGTATTTATTAAAACTTATTTTGTTGTTATTTCATATTTAAGAAGATTTTGTGGTTCCTGTAAGTTTTATTTATTCAGGAAATGAGCAGGAATTATAAATTATACAATAAAAATAATTACAAAGGTTTCAGACCCCTGACTTAGACTAAACCTGTAGGTAAGTCTCAGAAATAAAATTAATGTCATTGTTAATAAATAAATCTCAAATTAAACAATTGTGGTTTATTTTTATATTCTGAAATGTTTAAAGCTTTTTATTTACTGTAGACAAACACAAAATCATTTATAGTTTAGAAAAAGTTAAATACAGATAAAATTACATAAATACATATTACCTGGAACACTATTATTAATTTTTAACAACCTCTTTTACAGAACTTTTGTTAATTTAGGAAAAATCAATGCAAAACAATCAAAGTGTTAAAGCACAAGTATGGGGTGCCGTTTGTAAAGTTACAGTCACAAATTAACAGCAATATTTTGGTTTATTTAACCTTTAAAAACCAAAGTCATATTTTCACCATGATATTCATACATTTATAGTTCCAAACTAAATATTTAATTTACAAGTTAAATATTTAGTTTACAAACTAAATATCTAGTTAACAAACTAAAGGTTTATGTACAAGCTAAACATTCATTTACAAATTAAATATTTAACTTGCAAGTTAAATATTTAGTTAGCAAATTAAATAGTTATTTTGGAAATTAAATGTTTAGTTAAAATAAATATTTATGTCTGAACTAAATATTTAGTTAGCTAATTAAATATTTAGTTTAGGAATTAAATATTTAGCTTATAAATTAAACATTTAGTTTGGAAATTAACTATTTAGCTTGGATAATAAATATGTAGTTTGGAAATTAAATGTTTAATTTTGAAAACAAATAGCTTGGAAATTAAATATTTAATTTACAACTAAATATTTAGTTAGCTAATTAAATGTTTAACTTGCAAGTTAAGTATTTAGTTAGTAAACTAAGTATTTAGCTTTTAAATTAAATATTTAATTTGGAACTATGACATTTATAAATGTATGAATGGCATGGTAAAAATATGACTTTGAAAAAAAAAGAACTATAATTTTTCTTATGAAAAGCTAAATAAACCAAAATATTGTTGTTGATTTTTGACTGTGTAACTTTACAAACAGAACCCCATAGCAATGAAGATGAAATGAAGTCTTTAAGATGTTGGATTGATTGATCCAGTGTAAAACTACATGACAGTAATTATACTTTATAGTCATTCCACACAATATTTCCATAAACCAAAACACAAGTATTATTTTATTTAATGAGGAAAAGTTTGTGTGCTTTAGTCCACATGTATCGTCTGATCTTCCTGGACTTTTCTCGTTGTTTCTGTGATGTTCTTCACACTTATCCACTCCTCCGTCTGGATGTTTCCTTCCTGCTGCTGCTTTTTATCAGAGCCCAGAAAGACTTTTCTTGTCCTTTTCATAAAATACAAACAAAAAAAGATGTTAATTCACATAAATAATGTTCCCGACTAATTCTGATAAGATTACACTGCACACGTCTATTTTAAAAGGATAGCTCAGACATCTGAGAGTAAAATGTCATGACCAGTTATTTTACCTGTTGTACATAACTCTTTGAATGATCTCAGTTATGGGAAATTGTGTTAAATTCTGACTAGATTGCTGAGCAGCTAGTCTGACAAAACATAAGTGGAATGAAATAATTCTTAAAAGTTTCATAGACTGATAAATGTAAAAAAAAATACATGAATATACACGTACTTTAATTGATCCCCGAAGGAAGACAGAAAGTCCAGTAGAAGATAAACTACTCAATATAAAGGAAGTAAATTATACTAAATTATATAATAAATTTATTTAAATAAAACAATTTCTATAAATTGAATTAAATAATAGTCAAAGTGGTTTATGTGTTATTCTAGTCCTTTACAGTCAAATTCACAATAATTCCGTTATTCCTGCCCAAAGTGCAACAAACAACAACAAACAAAAAACGAAATTATGTGCTAATAATAATCTGAAATGTTTGATATTCTAGTCCTGCTGTTTGTTCACCAGAACTAAAATCTATTTCTCCAGATCTGATGGCCTTCAAGGAGCTTCCTACAGCAGGTTAATTGTAATGGTTTCTACATGACCCTTTCTACATCACTTCAAAAATCTGGACTATTGCTTTAAGACTTCTTCCTGTCGTCCGGCTTCATTTTGACGACCACTCACAGTTTTATGTATGCGAGGACAGCTACTGTAATCAGGAGAAGGCCACAGGTGCAGGTGATGAGCACAACTTTTGCTGAAACAAAACAGAAGTTATCTTGCGTTAGTCGTGCAGAACAGCAGCCATGTTCAAACACAAGACCTTGGCACTGGTTTCAGATCCGACAGAGCTGAATAAATAAAAAGTCCCATCGCAGCTGAGCCTCCTACCTCCTGTGGAGCTGTGTGTGCTGCTGACAAAGCGAGCTGGTTCTGCATCATAGCTCAAGGTTGAAGGTGATAAAGGGATCAAGGAGGAGGAGAAAGATGCTGCCCATGTTGTCAGAAACCCGTCCGGGTCCTTAGAAGGAGGCAAACTGGTTTCTGGATAAGAACTGGTGCTCAGAGGGCTATCAGTTGTTGCGTCCTTCAGTTGTGTTGCTGCACCTGTAGACGCACATGAACACCACAGGTGATTTACAGGTGCTGGCCATAAAATTAGAACATCATGACAAAGTTGATTTATTTCAGTAATTCCATTCAAAAAGTGAAACTTGTATATTATAGTCATCCGGTTACACACAGACTGATATACTTTGTATTTCAAATGTTTATTTCTTTTAATGTTGATGATTATAACTGACAACTAATGAAAACTCCAAATTCAGTATCTCAGAAAATTAGAATATTGTGAAAAGGTTCAATATTAAAGACACCTGGTGCCACACTCTAATCAGCTAATTAACTAATGGTACCCACACTCATTCGCCGCACTCTGGGCCCCTGAGCAAGGCCCTTAACCCCCACCATCTGCTCCCTAAACAGGTCTCTCTTGAAAATGAGTTCTCATGGCTCAATGAGACTACCTGGATGAATAAAGAGGCTGGCTGTTCACAGAGCTCTGTGTCCAAGCACATGAATAGAGAGGTGAAGGGAAGGAAACGATGTGGTAGACAAAAAAAAGGATGGAGAGGATGGTGAAACAAAACCCCATTCCAAAATGTGGGGAGATTCACAAAGAGTGGACTGCAGCTGGAGTCAGTGCTGCAAGAACCACCATGCACAGATGTATGCAAGACAAGGGTTTCAGCTGTCGCATTCCTTGTGTCAAGCCACTCTTGAACAAGAGTCGGAGTCAGAAGCGTCTCGCCTGGAACTGCTGCTGAGTGGTCTCTGTTCGCTGATGAAAGTACATTTTGCATTTCCTTTGTAAATCAAGGTCCCAGAGTCTGGAGGAAGAGGAGAGGCACAGAATCCAAGTTGCTTGAGGTCCAGTGTCAAGTTTCCACAGTCAGTGATAGTTTGGGGTGCCATGTCATCTGCTGGTGTTGGTCCACTGTGTTTTCTGAGGTCCAAGGTCAACACAGCATCTACCAAGATGTTTTAGAGAACGTCATGCTTCCTGCTACTGATTGACTTTATGGAGATGCAGATTTCATTTTCCAACAGGACTTGGCACCTGCACACAGTGCCAAAGCTACCAGTACCTGGTTTAAGGACCATGGTATCCTTGTTCTTAATTGTCCAGCAAACTCTCCTGACCTTAACCCCATATAAAATCTATGGAGTATTGTGAAGAGGAAGATGAGATACACCAGAGCCAACAGTTGAGAAGAGCTGAAGGCCACGATCAGAACACCTGAGCAGCGCCACAGACTGATCCACTCCATGTCACGACGCAGTAATCCAGGTAAAAGGAGCAACAACTAAGTACTGATGCTGAACATGCTCATACTCTTCATGTTCATACTTTTCAGTTGGCCGACATTTCAAAAAACATTTTTTATTGGTCTTAAGTAATATTCTGATTTTCTGAGATACTGAGTTTGGGGTTTCATTAGTTGTCAGTTATAATCCTCAACATTAAAATAAATAAACATTACAATCTTTCCACATTGTACAAATAAGATCATTTTTATTTCAAAGTTATGCACAGTCTACCAAAAACTAAAATCAAACCTACCCTAAATCAAATTGTATTTACATTTTAATACAAGAAGTCTGATTTTTCTACCAATCCCAATTATTGTGATTTAACACCTTCACATTTTTATTAACCCTCAGTTTGACATTTTTGTTTCTTTTTATTTGTGTATCTTAAGGTACCAAAGTGTGAATGAGAGATGTCATACCTGATTTATTGAAGCAAAAGGCATCAAATTTCTGTGTTACAGAGGCTCGCCATGGCACCAGCCCGATCTGACTTTTCCCACAATTAGCAAGTGCATTAATGCGAGGAATAACAGCTAAATGTTCATCAGTCCATCCAAATCTAAATGAAACAAAACAAGACATTCTGATGAGCATTTTCACTGAAATCCACAGGCTGTGAAGCATCTCTGTGGTTCTTACCTGCATGTTTCCAGACCTCTGCTGAGAGCTGTCTCTACTTGTGATTTTGAGGCAATTTCCAACCCGAGGGCTCTGCAGAGGCTCCGGGCTTCAAAGGCATCGAAGCCGTATTCCACCAGGTTACGCTCATTCAAGTGGCTCACCTGGATCACTCCAGCAATACTTTGCTTTCCTTCTGGGAAAACTGGATACAGCATGAACAGATTAAAAGAAAACGATAAAACAGCTAAATTTAATGACGAGATTACTTACCTTTGATTTGGCTCATGTTCTTATCAGAGGAGACGGGTGTAAAGGAGAGCACCAGTGTGATGCACAGAAAGATAATCCTCATGATGACTGGTGAGGAGTGCGCTGTGGAGCAACCGCTGCAGGAGTTACGAGTCTTTGAACCCAATGACTGGGTTAAATAGATTCTGTTGTCTGGGGTGTGAGGACTCTGTCATTGCCGGAGAGTAAAGGAAAAGAAGGAAGGAAATTCTGTGCATAGGTCAGCTCAGGAGCCATCCTATGTTCAGGGAGAAAGGGCCAGAAGAGAAAGAGATTGAACTAAAACGTCAAACTCAAAGCTTTGAAGAAACTCAGAGGAAGGCAAATTGACGCAGACACAACACAATCAAAAGCCCAAATCAGGAGACCAAAGAAGGAAATATTTCTAAGTGAAATAGCAGAGAGTAAGGGCTGCACGGTGGTGCAACTGGAAGAGCTGCTGCCTCTCAGCAAGCAGATCCCGGTTCAAATCCCGGTCCACGGGCCTTTCTTGGTGCAGTTTGCATGTTCTCTTGTGCATGCATGGGTTTTCTCCGGGTACTCTGGTGTCCTCCCACCGATCCAAAACATGGGATTTTCAAATATTTTAGAAAAATTATTTGTGACCAGATTAGATCAATTTATTGCTAAACAAAATATTTTAAGTACAAAGTAGTAGTCAGTATGTGTTTAGAGCAAATAACTACATCAGTGGCTCTCATGGAATTGATAGAACAAATAACTACTGCTGTCGATCAAAAACAATATTGTGTTAGTATTTTTGTTGATTTAAAGAAAGCATTTGATACAACTGACCATATTATTCTCTGTGAAAAATTAAATAAGTATGGCATTAGAGGACTAGCACTACAGTGGGGATCTAGCTATTTGAAAGACAGGAAACAGTTTGTACAAATAAATGATGTAAGATTTAACCTCTCTAATATCACATGTGGAGTTCCTCAAGGTTCTGTACTTGGACAAAAGTTATTTATTTTATATGTAAATGACTTGGTAAATGTGTCAGGACTCCTTAAATGTATTTTATTTGCAGATGATACTACTTTGTACATTTTTTTTGTTTGGGTAAAGAAATAGAACGGGTGTTGGATTTGATGCAGACAGAATTAGTAAAAATACAAACTTGGTTTAAAACTTAATAAATGATCATTAAACTTAGATAAAACTAACAATATTATATTCAGTAATAGAAAGAGAACTGTCAATGTTACATTTAGAGTCAAGGGTATTGAGATTTGTAGAGTTAGTGAGGTGAAGTTTTTGGGTGTTATTGATGAAAAATTGACATTGAAACATCACATAAATTATATAAGAATAAAAATAGCTAAATCTATTGCAGTATGGTACAAAGTCAGGGACTTATTGAATGATAAAGCTCTGTATATGTTGTATAACACAATCATTGTTCCACACTTAATCTGTTGTTTTGACGTTTGGGGGAAAGCCTGTAAAGAATTACAAATCCTATTTTTGTTTTACAAAAAAGAGCGGTAAGAATTATTACCAGGAAACATTTCAAGTACTTTATTTTATCAACTGAAGTTACTGAAGTTCCATGATTTGGTAGATTATAATATTTAGTTATGTGTAGGGTTCATAATAACACATTACCTTTACTTATCCAATTAAATTTTGTTAAAAGAGAAAGTTGTTATAATCGTAAGAGGATGGAAATCTTTGTTAAACCTAAATTTAGAACTAGTCTGAAAGAACAGTCTACCTCAATTCAAGGAATTAGATTATGGGATAATCTGGAGGGTGATATTAAAAATGCCAGGTCAATGTCTTTGTTTAAGAGAACGATCAAAGTTGGTTTGTTAAAAAATATGAAATAGCTTAATGTGTATTTGTATGAATTGACGCTTGTATGAAAGAGTCAGAACAGAGTAGAAGGCTTGTGAAACTATTAACCGTTTTTGTGATTGAAGTAAAAGATTTTCATCACTTCCAACATCTGACTGTGACACCCTGTCCTCAGGATTTCCTCTCTTGAGGCATTACTCCATCACACATGCACTTGTTATCTCTGGTGTCCTCTGATGGGCCTTTGGCACACGATGACGTCCACTTCCACAAAAACATGTCTCCACAAGACCTGATGGCAGGAAACGGAGCAAAGCGAGCTGCTGACGGAGACTTGGTAATAGTTTCTTGTGGTCAGATGTCAGTGGGGTGAGAAGATAAATAACGTGAAACTGTGCAATCCTAAATGTTAAGGTAAATCACACATGTCTCGTTGAACATCTGCAGAAAATTCCGGTTCGTTAATTTAGTCTGTCAAAAAAAACGTCCAGATGACATGATTGAACCCTTTTTTGTGTCAGTGTATTTACATCAACTTTGGAAGGGAAGCACATTTTGAATAAAATAGTGGTATTCCATAATAGTTTTCTTCTCCTTATGATTAATCCTGGCCCTGTGTACATGATTTCATGCCACCTCATGTACCACATGTGATGGTAATGACATTAAAATGTACTTGACTTGATAATCAACAGGCAGTCCAGGGCCCATATCTCATCCACAGCTGCCCCACGGTACACAAGGTACACTCCTGGGTTTTTTTGCATCGTCTCTCACCAGCAGAGCAAAATATGATGTAGGCAATGAAGAACTTTTGGATATCAAATTGGCTTTAGAGGAATGGAGGCAGTGGCTAGAGGTCTCTGAGGTACAGTACCATTTATAATTTGCTGACCATAAGAATCTGGCATATATTCAAGACAACAAAAGATTTAATCCCAGGCAAGTCTGGTGACTTTGTTTTTCACTCATTTCAACTTCCCTATAACTTAGAGAGCCGGATCCAAAAACATCCAGCCTGATGCCTTATCTCGTCAATTCTCTGCTTCCGATTTCCCCAAGACCGAACAGAGCATCCTTCCATCATTCTGTGTCGTTGGTATTCTCATGTGGATCATCGAAAGGGACATTCAGGAGGCCCAGAGAGATCTGACTCTGACCCAGGTACTGGTCCCATCAGAAGGTTGTTCATTCCAAGGTCAGTGAGAAGCAACGTCTTATAATGGAACCAGAAAAATAAACTGACTTGTCATCCTGGTATTAACAGCATTCATCCAACCTTTAGTTATACAGGTTAGTCTCACTGAGTCTCAGGGACTCGTTTACAAGAGAGACCTGTTTTAACAAAGAGTGATGACAAGAGTAGACAATCATAAAAGAAAGCATGTAATTTGAAATGAAAGAAAACTGTGTAAAAAATAAACAAAAAAACATTTAGATTGTAAAGCCATGTAGAATACTAGAAAACTAAAAACAGGAACATGTCTGCGTTGGTTTTTGTCATGAACTTAACAGATGTTTGAAGCCACTTAGAGAGGTCAAAGGTCGAGAGCTTCAGATCTTTTTACAAGATATTCCAGGAAACAGGAGCGGAGTAGGAGAAGGTGCTTTTGTCTAGTTCAGTCCTCACTGAGGGAACACTGCAGGTAATGATGTCCTGAGAGCGCACGCTGTAGCTGCACTCACACAGAGACATGTAGGAGGAGATGTATGAAGGCAGCAGACCAAGAAGTGATTTAAAGATGAAAATGTACCAGTGAGAGAGTCTGTGAGAAGTTAATGGTGACCAGTTAACCGTTAACTGATCATACATACCTGGGGTCCTCCACCCTCATCTCAAATATCATGGAACCCCCAAGAAACATGTAAAGAAAGAATACATGTTCCTAAAGTCCCCTCTACTTACAGTACCAAGAGCCATACTTAACTTCCTCCTTTTTCAGATCCTCCCAGTGCCACCTGTAATTATTCAAACCCTGTAAATAAAACCACTCACCTTATTACTCTGAGTTTCAGTGTTTCATCTCAGTCCTCGGCTCTGGGTGTGACCATCTCCTTTGTGATCAAATGTCCAGTTGTAATTTGAGAACATTTGCCTTGATCAACCTGTTAAAAGAATAAAAAAAACTACAAACTATTTTCAAGCACCTTTTATTTAAAGGTGAAGTGAAACAAACATAACATCCAAACAGGCAATCAAACGGTTTGATGACAAAATCATTTGCCTGGAATCATTGAAAAAGTGCTCTTCTTTTAAAACGTTAAAATCATGTCAGTGCTCCGAGTCCAAAATAACAAACACAAACCACCAACTGCAAAATATTGCACTTAAAACTACATTTTCTGTGCTCTTGTCTAAAATTTAAATATCCTTTAAAAAATTAAGGAAACAAAACAAATTTTAAAAATGATTTTAAAATCTTTTGAGGGCTTTGTTTTGTAATAAAACCTCACAGGTTACATATTTTTTTATAAATATACATTTTTCCTTTGTGGAATTTAAAAGTACCACAGTCATCCTCCAAAGTACCAGAATGTATTGTTACAAATGCAAGTAAATTAATTAAATATGTTTAATTATTACACTTTGTCATTGGTCCCTAAACCTAAAATGTTTTTTCTGCAGTAAACAAACAGTCAACATTTCATCCTTAATAAAACTATAACTTAATATAATATAAAAGCAGTATAATCTACTTAGTATAATCCACCAAGCCTCCCAAAAGTTTCAGGGTCATTCCATTCAAGTGAGTCTGGGTGTATACTATTATGGCAACATGCCAGGGACTCGTGGTTTCAGCTCCACTGTCATGATGTTCTTTGGTTGTTCTTCTGGTCCGATGATCTCTGCCGTGCTCGGTAAAAAGTCCCTCGTGTCTTACGTGCCTTACGTGTCCTCACGCCGGTTGTAGTAGTCACTGAAGAAGGTGAAAATACTGATAACCACACACATCACTACAAACAGCATCAGGAAGATCCAAAGAAGACGCCGAGTGACGGAAATCTTGGGACAAAACTGGTTGAGAAGAGCCAGGACCTCCGATATCCTCCTGAGAAGAGTAGAGACCTCAGTCAGTAGATAGTCCTACAAAGACTCACTGTTAAAAGAGTACATTTTTACAAAAAATAAATCTATTGACTCATGTCTAATGGTTACAATTAACAGATGAAAACGTCATTATTTGGTGCATGAAGAGTCTTTGATTGTAATGTGCCAATTTTAGGTGTTTGTGCTTTTCTTCACTGTTTAACACATTTCAAAGCACTTGCTTGAGATTAGTCCATAACTGGTCGTCTGGACATAAAAAAAAAAAAAAAATTATAGAAACGTTTCGTCCTTCATCTGAAAGACTTCCTCAGTCTGAGGTGCTGTGTTCAGCTTAGTCTCTTAAATAGCACCTTCTCAGAGTGGATCAACCAGTTTTGCTGCTGACAACCAAAACCAGCTGCTCACATGCTCAAGAAGGACCATCAGCCTAACAATGGATCATTAGCACACTGATTATTGAGCATGCATCAGGGTATTAGTCCATAACAAAATAATTAAGATGAAGGAAGCATCTTTTCTATTTTTTCTTCTGTCAGCTGCTCCTTCTTCCACAGCGAACTAACTCACTCGAAGACTTGGTGATTGGTTTTATGCCCAATGTCCGTCCTGACTCAAGCACTGACCTCCGAGCTACCACAGCCCTCTGTGTGGAGCAGAGAGCAGCCATCAAAGGTGCCTGGGGAGCAGATGAGGACTTTGCTCAAGGGCCCAGAGTGAGGCAAACAAGGGTGGAGGCAGGTGTGGGCGCTTCACTTATCCCACCCACATTTTGATGTTGCCGGAATGGGGAGTCGAACCAGCGACCTTCCAATCACAGGCTCACTACAGTACATAAAATGTTTCTAATATTTTTAATTATCCCTATACTGTTATGTTTACCGGTATATTCCAATAAATAGATAGATATATGCTATATTGTCCCATACTCATTATGTACACATATAGTTGGGCTTTTTTAACTTTTAGGGGTAATAATGTCATTAAGGTCAGAAAACGTGTCTCTCGAGTCGTGTCTCGAGCATCCAGACTCAGTTGCTTAGCAGACTGGATCGCAAATTGGATGTGATTTGTGAGAATCGCAGGCCATTTTTCGGCCTGTAGGACTCGCTAGCAGGATGGATCAGATCTCGGAGAATATTCTCAGGCGTGGACTAGTGGTGTGTCCACTTAGTTTGGACGTTTCGGAATCTACGTGAGACCAGCGAAGACTCAAGGCAGATAAAATTCAATGAAGCTCTGTCTGTCTCCAAAACAAATGTTTATCTGAATTTGGCTCCCTCGGCTGACCTTGGCAGGCCACCTTATCTCAATTCGCCTGGAGGCTCTGTAATCTGATGCTTTGACCCTTCCCCTCACCACCGAGGAAGTCCATGCACCAATCGGGGGGAACCGGCATTGTGTCATCATTTTAGGACTCTTGTATTCTCACTGGCGCTGTCCATCCTCGGCACCCCTCGAGAATGTTTACGGATCTCACCAGAGGGAACTGGCTGATTATTCCATTCTTATCAGAACTCCTTCAGTGCCTCCAGGAGCGTCCTTGGACACACTCACCGCCCTTGTTGTCTCCCCCTCCCCTGCGGAATGTCTGCGTCACCATGTGCTCATGTGGGCGGGGTGTTTTATCAATTTCATGCTCTCTCTCTCATCTGCATGCCGTTACTTTCACAACGTGTCTGTCTAAACAGGTCTCACTCGTAAAAGAGTCTTCGAGGCTCAGTGTGATTTATTTGTATAAATAAAGTTTTGAACATGCCCAAACACAGAAGCCCCACCCAGAAGTAAGAAAATGGATTACGGTGAATCTTTGAAACTATTTTGGAACAATTGATTTTCTCAAATCAGAATATTTGTAAAATATAGAATATCGGTATTCATTTAGTTGAGAAATTTTATCTTTTTATATATAATAAAATATTACACGAACTGTTTTTATAGCTTTGATTTTTATATATTTTTTGTCCTTAATTTTAAATTTTTAAAATGCTTGGTATTTGTTTTCTATTTTACTGTAAAATAGCATAAATTGTGATTTTGTTACTGCAAAACATACAAATAACCCATTGTGAATATTTAAGGGTTCCTATAGTTTTAAATACACTTTAAACAAAGATGATGGGTTCAAATAAACATGTTTATTTTTTATTGACAAATTAAATTATTAATAACTTTTAATTAACGTCTAAATGTACATGTACAAATGAGCTATGCAGGAATTTAGATAACTAAATATTTGCTGCAGTTTTGTCAACACAACTCCAGTAACTTTTAAATTAGATGTTGGTTATGTTTTTGAAAGAAGAACATTCAGTTACCTGCTGCTTTTATACCTCTTTCCACTTTCTTCATCCTTGTGTTTCAGTTCCAGCAGTTTTTCTGCATCGTTCTCATCTTCACTTTTCTCCTCCAGGAGCACTTTGCTTTGCTTTAGTCCCTCCTGGTAGCTGCAGAGAAAATATTTCACTTTTAAAAAGATGAAAAAACAACACTTTAAAACAAAAAGGATTTCTGCATCAATTATGTAAACTACCTGATAAAATATTAATTAAAGTTAACTTTGATGGATAAACTTTAAGTTGCATGCATCAGTGCTTGCTGAGAAAACAGCCTATATCAGTAGCAACCATGTAACAGGCACATGCCCAGTACATGCACAGTAAGTACTTCCTTAGAACCAGGCTACTACCAGGCGTGTACCTGCTAAGTATCTATTATATTCAGATTAGCTGGGCACTAAGTGATGAGAGCAGAATGACTCATGTCGTTCAAACCAAGATGTCCATTTGAAATCAGCATGTGTAAAAGGAACTGTCTCATCGTTTGTTTTTTACTGTCTGAGATGGTTGACTTTCAGTTCAGGAGATCAATTCTCCCACGTGCACGGTTTCAGATCCAAGCCTGGTTGTTCGAGGTTAGATGTTGTGTGGGGCCGCCTCGAAGGACCAAATTGGTTGGATTAAAATTATCCTTGCATTATCTACTTACTTAAAAGGAGCTCACACACGAAGACAGGAGAAGATTTTTTTAACCCAGTTTACGTGCAAGGGCAGACGGTCACGAAACAGGCTTGCTTATCTATCTATCTATCTATCTATCTATCTATCTATCTATCTATCTATCTATCTATCTATCTATCTATCTATCTATCTATCTATCTATCTATCTATCTATCTATCTATCTATCTATCTATAA